ATTCTAAATTGATTGCATAGTTTGTGATTATTATGTAATCAAAAGAGTGGAATGTAATGGGAAAATGATATGTGACCCTTTTAAATGCTTCATTTGTATAACCAGTTTATTAGTTGCAAGTGCTTAGGTCACAAAGGCCCTGACATAAGAACTGATGTCTCCCACTTGGATTAGATGTTTCCAGCGTCATAGCTGTAGAGATTGAACAAAGTGTTTGTTATGTCTATGACCACCTTTGTTTAAGCATGTTGGGAGAGCAAGGATACGGTCAAAGAACTGACGTGTCTTACATGGATAAGATGTTCCCAGTACCCTGGCTGTAGATACTCAACAAGATGGTTAACGGTTTCTGTTGACGCCACCGATATCTAAATTTAGGTATAAGAACTGCCTCGATGTGTTGGGAAAAAAAGGAGGTTCTTGACAGTCTACTGACCACGTAGCTGTTGTGACCCTTTTTCCCTTGCAAGGAAATAAACGGAGAAAAGACATACTTGACTCAGAGCCTTTGTTTCTTACTTAACGATTGTCTGTGCAAAATCTTCCACCACAACACGAACAGCTGCATCTCCAGCCACCAGTCCGTCAAGCTCCTGAAGTTTGCGGATGGCACCACCCTCATTGTACTAATCTCTGGTGGGGATGAGTCTATTGGCCTACAATATTAACACTAATTAAAAGAGAAAAAAAGATGCCTTGAGGTGCTGTATATAATTGAGTATGTGATTTAACAAAAGGTTAACAACATTTTTGAACACACATGCCTCATAAGGCAAGGCTAAATATAGATAAGAGATGAGATTCTCAACAAACGATGAAATGGGCTAACAAGTCTCTTCTCTCACCTCTGACCAGTAGCCACAACATTGCTAGCTCTCAAACCAGTTATTGTACCTCAAGAGGAGAAGCTTCTCAAACTTTTGATCTGAGAGCCTATTCGATCAAACACCATTCCCATCCGCAGCACCTGCTCCGTCAGCATCCCTGCAGGAGGGAAGATTGCAACTCACAATTGATGTGTTTGAACAACAAAAAAAAGTCCTTTCCCTTCAGGAGGAGTACTACCGCCTTAAAATTGAACACCTAAAAAAGAAACCATTTAGAGATTGTGTTCTGTGTCTTGCATTTAACAATTGCAGGTGATGTGCAGTAAAACTGTGGTAGTTCTTAATGCCATCACAAGTTCTCAAATGACATGGGGCTACAGCTTGCCTGAAATGTAAATTTGTGAAGTTTGCCCTGTAAGGCAGTCCACTCTGGGCTAGGATCCCCTGTGGAATGTGAATATCTTCTTCACCACCATATTGTGTAATATTGCACAGGCTATGATGACTTTGCTGACTTTTTCAGGCCACAGCCGCACCTCTCCGTGGAGAACATGAAAGCGCCTCTTAAGCTGGCCTATGCCACGCTCCACCACCGCTCTTGTTGTCTTGTGGGCCCTACAATAGAATACAGACCTTTAATTATTTGATGGAAATATTGCACTACTTGGATGCTCTAACATATTGCTTGCATTTCATTTCCATGATTTTTGTATTGTTTGCCTACCTGTTATAGTTTAGTTGGGGCCCTTGGCGTGGCTGGAGGTAAGGTGTAAGGAGCCATGGTTTGCATGGGTAGCCACTGTCCCCTAACAAGTGGCAATTAGCTGGCACATAGCGTCTCTCAAAAAGCTGTCTGATGCCACTCTCGGAGAGCATTCTCGCATCATGTGTGGAGCCTGGCCATTTAGCCACAATGTCCAAAATCTTACAGGCCACATTGAACACTATTTGCACATTGATGCTGTGGAAATTCTTCCTGTTAACAAAGATAACCTCGTCCTCTGATGGCGCAATTATTCTCACATGTGTTCCATCACCCATTACATCCATTACACCCACAACGCCAGGGAATCCTGCAATGTCCATAAATGCCCTTTTATGTGCTGAATGAAACAAATTGTGTCACAATATTAGGTTGTGAAAAAGCTGTCAGTGTTTGGGTGACTCTGCTGACGGAGGATTGAGACAGACCCAAGTCATCACTGCTGCATTGTTGCAAAATCCCTGTTGCCAAATACCTCAGGATTGTGATTACTTTCTACGGTGGAATAGCGTTGTGGCGTCGAGTTGGTGAAGTAATTGCATCTCTAAGGAGATCCACCACAAACATGATTCCTGCACGATCCAATCTGTAGCGTCTCAATAATTCCCTGTCATCCAGTGTTTGCAGGACATCTCTCCGGCCATTTTGTGCAGCTGCTTAGGGGAACTCCTAAGCCACTAAAAGTCCTCTTCCCTGCTCTTAGCAGATCTCGCCTCAGGAGCCCTTTTAAGCACTAGGAATCTTGAGGAATAGCTTTTATATTAACTGGGATTTTCGTGTCACTTTTAGGGGAAATTCTAAGAAAACGTCATGACTCATGAATTTTCTTAGAATTTGGCCGCTAGGAGCCACTTTTTGCACAAAAATTCTTTAGGGATACGGGCCCTGATGTTCCCTTTCAATGATGCATTTCATCTGAAGTTGGGAGGATATTGTATTCAATTCGGCCATAGGTATCTCAGAAATTCGAGCTACCGCATCATAGAACTAATTCCACCTGCTGGTGCAAGGTACAAGCAGCTTCTTAGCAATAACGTCGTTGACAATCTCCGAAGCCACCGTTGACCGACTTGCTTGTTCCACAGCCTTGCGCATTTTGTGGTAGCATTTCTGTGATAGATTTCGTTTCTGACTTTGACATTAGCCACTTATCGACATCAGTGCATGAGATGAGGTTCAATGTGTGCGATGCGTATCTGTAATACGGGGGTAAAACCACGTCATTGACATCGACAGCATTATCTAGCACATCCCCAATGTTTGTAAAAGTCGCCTCATCCTCCTCCAAATGATCTTCAGTGTCTGGCTCAGGTGGCTGGTACATTTGAAACGCCTTGACAAAATTAGAGCCAACAGTTGCTGTCACTTTGAAAGATAGGCCATAGGCTGAGTGGATGTTGTCTATTTCGGTTGCAATAATGTCATACGAATGTCGGCCCTTGAATCTCTGGCATGCCAGGGCTGATTTCCCACGTAGCATGTTGTTCGGATTAATCCAGTGTGCAGTTACACCTAAAAAGCTTTTATTGTAAGCAGTCCAGATGTCTGCTGTGGTAGAGACATGTTGTAAACCCTCAAATGTTTTTTTTTAGCTCGAACCTGCATTTTCGCATATTCTCTGTCTAAATAGCTGGAAAACGTCTTCCTGCACATTTGCCCCGAGCCTCCATTTATCACCAGAATTTTGCTTATTAGTTGCCTGAAGGCAACTGACTTGACAGTTGACAGAGGATGTATGTCATCGACAACATACCTAGCAATCAATTTATTCAGCTCTGCCTGGCTTATTGGCTGCACTGCAGTCCGTGTAAAGTCTAGCCATGGTTGTTTGCATGGAATGGCGCCTTCAGCATCCTTAGGGCTGGGGTCTTTCGCTACTAGCTTTGCCGAAGCGTGTTGTTTCAACAGGTGCTTCATAAGATTGGAATTGCTATTCTTAGATGTGGATAGGGTCTTTGCACCTGCACATAATTTACAACTCACCACTACATTTTTGTCTTTACTTTCGACGAGCGAAAAGTAATTTCCATACGACGAGAGAAAGCTCATTCTGTCCGCACTGTCGGCCATGATGTGGTTTAATGCTCATTGATTGATTCGATTGGTGTGTCATTGCGCCAAGGTCCTGCGATGTCAGATCAGAAGCAGCTAAAGTAGGCCTATCTTGTGTTCTTGTCTGCAAGTGTTCATTTTTCGCAAAAGAGAGTAACGCGCGTAACGAACTCATTTAAATTTCAGTAATTGTAACTGCGTTAATTTATTTAAAAAAATACTTTGTTACATGCTTGTTGCCGCTAAAAGTAGTGGAATTACAGTAATGCGTTACTTTGTAACACGTTACTCCCAACTCTAACTTATGCAGGCAATGTTCTGTGATTTAAGAAACTATTGAAGGCGCACCTCATGCCATTAATCACTTGACATTTTCCATTGTTTTTGTACTCATCTGGTCCATCCATCGTCAAAACGCTTATCCTGCACACAGGGTCGCAGGAGTCTATCCCAGCCAACTTCGGGCGAGAGACAGGGTTCACCCTGGTCTGGTCGCCAGCCAATCGCAGGGCTAACACAGAGAAAAACAACCTTTCACATCCACACACCTATGGGCAATTTAGAGTCCCCAATCAACCTGATCCCCAGAGCATGTCTTTGGACTGTGGGAGGAAGCCGTAGTACCTGGAGAGAACCCACGCAGACACGGGGAGAACATACAGACTCCACACAGAAAGGCCACTGGGCGGATTCAAACCCAGGACCTTCTTGCTGTGAGGCGTTCTGGACAATATGCATCATAGTCGTCAACAGCAAGTGTGTGACTATTTTATCGGATATTATCTTTCATTTTATTCTGTTAGTAATATTTTTAACAGTTTGTTATACGTCATGTTCTAAACTCCCCTTAACGAGAGCAAATAATAAATAACCCCCCCCGACACCGGCATAATTGAAGGAAATGTGTTCCTCCTACCTTCAACAGACCCTGCATTCAGCTAACTGTAGGTTTCTTTCTTTAGTTCCGCATTCTAGTTCTAAAAAATGACTCATGCGTAGTTTCGTTTATAGAATGATTTTTTATTCAAATGTTTTCACAGCACTGCAGACACAGTGGTGTTATTTGAAAATATCACAAAAACTGTATGAATATACGAATAGGAAACTCCATCCATCCATCCATCCATTGTGAAACCGCTTATCCTGCACACAGGGTCGCGGGGGGGCTGGAGTCCATCAAAGCCAACTTCGGGCGATAGACAGGGTACATCCTGGATTGGTCGCCAGCCAATCGCAGGGCTAACACAGAGACCATTCACACTCACACATCTACGGGCAATTTAAAGTCCCCAATTAACCTGATCCCCAGAGCATGTCTTTGGACTGTGGGAGGAAGCTGGAGAACCCGGAAAGAACCCACGCAGACACGGGGAGAACATGCAGACTCCACACAGAAAGGCCACTGGGCGGAATCGAACCCAGGACCTTCTTGCTGTGAGGCAACAGTGCTAACCACCACACCCCCGTGCCACCCCACCGAATAGGAAACTGATTATGTTTAATAAATAATAACTTGGATAACATTTTATATTCCAATACAAATAATAACATAAATAACAAACATAAATAAAAATATCGAAATGTTATCAAAAGTTATATACACATACTTTAAAAATCCACTTCTGTCAGCCTGTAGTGAAACAATATATACGAAGCAGTTTGAGTATTGCAGCCCTGTCAAAAGGTATCAATACTAGGGTGAGTACGTAGTATATGAAATAGACCTCATAAATATATATATATAATGTGTGGTAATACATTACAGTTAGCCCGTTGTTCATTAAAACAGGTAACTGAGCTCAGTTTACTTTCAAACTGATTTAATAATTGGCTGATTTGATAAATGGCTGAACATTTTGTCTGTAGGTTGCACTGGCTGGTCTGTGCAGTCAGTATCGCTTCACAGTAGAGCCTTCTACATTTCAATAAGCTATCCTCACAAAGCAAACACACCAAAGAATGTCTTCCCTGTTTCGTCCTCCAGGCCCTGCAGCATCTTCTCCCCCATCACGGTCCTTAGTCTGTCCCCTTTCATCAGGTTGAACACAGCTCCCATGTAAACAGAGGAGAACCAGTTCCCCTCTTCATCTGGATTACTGCTGGCTTTCATTTGGCATACACTGCGGATGGAGTGCAGGATGGTCAAGTCCTTATTCCCTAACGACTTGGACCTGCGCTTCACAGTGTGACTCACGTGGACAATTGGCTGCAAGCTGGCGTCATCAGCATCACTGCTGCTGCAATTGACCCGGAAGGACGCTTGACTGTAAACAAAGTAGAGGCCATTTTGAGGAATCACAATTTGGTTGTTCTTGAGTTCTAGCCCTCCTTGATAATGGGATTGGTCCACCTTATCCTTCCATTCCGCTGAGGAATTCACAGCAGAGTTGTAGTGTCCTGTTGAAGAGGATTGAGAGATAAAGATGGAGAAAATAACTGACTATTGTGACAAACATCATGGATAGGGGGATTCAAAAGAATGTTATCCTTGAAAATTAAAAAAAAGTTAATTCCAAAGAACTTCCTGAAGAGGCTAAATCAAGAAGCCTTAAAATACTAAATCAAACGCCCTCAAAAAGCTAATGGTGTGAGAAGACTAAAATAATTGAAAATACATCTGCAATCAATTTTCTCACTCACTCTGATAAGTATCAAACAGACCAAGGCATTATTTGATACTGAATCAATTGCTTATATTTACCAACTAAATGAATGGCTGCTCTCACATTTGCAATCTGCCTTAATGTGTGGCGAAGACCTGTAAGGAAGTGAAGACAGAGGTTTACAAAACAACCCACAACCGCTCTAATTTTTCACTTCTAGAATACAACAAAAGTCTTAATTAGAGTAAAGGTTCTCACCAAAACTGTCTTCATCTTGTCCATGGCCCTGTTTCAAGAAGGGAAGGATAGAGAGACTGTTACAGGATGGCTGGGTTCAGGTGGGTCGGCAGTAAGAGACACCCGCCCCTCCAATAATTCAGATATTAGTGTAAGACTTGTGTTCCCACCTTGGCATGTCTGTGGAAAACAAGGACAACAGAAGCAGCAGCCGCGAGGCAGAGTATGAACACCAGCAGGCTAGTGGTTTGCTTGGAGCTTGGGTTCACTCGGATGGTTTCCCTCCTGACAGAGTGGACAGTTGCGTCCAGTAAAACCTTGCATTCACTTTCCATTGTTTTAAATGACTTGCTTTTATCACTTCAAGTAAAGTTGAGCTCTTCGAAGCAATATAGAGAACTGTCTTTTTCATTCTGCTGTTGCTCAGCGAGTGGCTCTTTTTAAACTAGTTATCTAATGGGAAACTCCAGTGATGTCACTCAGTGTGAGTGAATGGAGATTTGATGAGGAGGAGAGACCCACACACAAGGAGGATCTTACAAACCACACATCCTACACACAAAACATCGTTATGACTGTGTTATCCCATGAGCACATTCAACACAACCCCATTCCACACCTCAGTGCACAAACAGAACCCCATAGAGATACTTACACACACACACACACAAACATGGATATTCATTTTGACACCTTGTCAGTGTAAAACCTTTTGAGACAACGTCAGTCTGCCAAAATAGCTGCAAAACAAAATACAGAAACTGCAGAAGAGCAACGAGTGCCTTTCTCTGAAATCTAAAAATAACATGTAGTGCTTTACGGGTCATCTCTATGTGGGTCAGTCACATGGGAAATTAGTTGAAGTGAGGGGTGGCAAGTAAGAGAAACATTCACTTATTCCAAAAAAAAGTGTCTTCAAGCTACCAACAAGTCAGAATTTACTCAAAATTTCAGAATATACTATGTTTTGCGTCACTTCCTTTTCTTTAAATATATAAATAGAGCAATTGCAACATAGGCACGCATAAGAAAATTACATTCGAATTGAATGTGAATCCTTTAGATTAAAAAAAATCTTCTACTTGTCTCTTGGATCCGATTCAGACTAAGCTGCTTAAGGAAGTTTTTCCTTTAGTTAGCACGTCTTTACTAGATATTATGAATCTGTCTTTGTTGACAGGACATGTACCACAGTCCTCCAAGGTAGCTGTAATTAAACCTACTCTTGCTCCAGAGGTGTTGGCTAGCTACAGACCTTTCTCTAATCTTCCCTTCCTCTCTAAGATCCTTGAGAAATCAGTCGCAAATCAATGATGTGACTTTCTACAAAACAATACTTTGTTCGAGGATTTAGTCAGGATTTCAAGTGCATCATAGCACAGAAACAGTACTGGTGAAAATTACAAATGATCTTCTACTTGCATCGGACCAATGACTCATCTCTTTGCTTGTCTTGCTGGACCTCAGTGCCGCATTTGATACCATGGACCATTGTATCCTGTTGCAGGGACTAGAACATTTGATTGGTATCAGAGGAACTTCACTCAGCTGGTTTAAATCCTATCATATATTTTATCAGATCGATCCTAGTTTGTGCTTGTAAACGGTGAATCCTCGAAGATCACCCATGTTGGTCACGGTGTCCCACAAGGTTCTGTACTTGGACCGATTTTATTTACCCTCTATATGCTTCCTTTGGGCAATCTTATTAGGAAACTCCGCATAAACTTCCATCGTTATGCACGATACTCAACTGTATCTGTCAATCAAACCAGAGACCGACCAGCTTGTTAGACTTCAAGAATGTCTTGGAGACATCAAAACTTGGATGACCGGCCACTTCCTAATGCTAAACTAAAAAAAAAAGTTATCTTGATAGGCCCACTGCTTATTCGAAGTCAGCTGTCTTGTGATACTTTTTATGGATGGAATTGCTCTGGTACCCAGCAGCACCGTCAGGAATCTCTGAGTTCTCTTTGACCAGGATATGACCTTCAACTCATATAAAGAAGACTTCAAGGACTGCCTTTTTCCCATCTACATAATATATCAAAAATCAGGGACTTCCCGTCTCAAACTGATGCAGAAAAATTAGTGCAGAAATTTGTCACTTCCAGACTGGACTACTGTAATTCTTTGTTATCGGACTGCTCTTGTAAATCTCTTAAGCCTCTCCAGGTGATTCAGAATGCTGCAGCACATGTATTAACAAGAAGAAGAAAAGGGTTCGTATTACTCCTGTATTAACTTCTGTACTGGCTCCCTGTTAAATCAAGAATAGAATTTAAGGTACTTCCCCTCACCTACAAGGCACTTGCTGGTGAGGCACCGTCTTATCTTCAAGAGCTTGTAAGACCGTATTGCCCTACAAGGCAGCTGCGCGCCATAGATGCTGGGTTACTTGTTGTTCCTAGGGTTTTAAAAAGTAGAATGGGAGCCAGAGCCTTCAGTTATCAAGCTCCTCTTTTGTGGAACCAACTTCCACTTTCAGTCCGGGGGGCAGATTCGGTCAGCTCTTTTAAGATAAAGCTTAAATCAGGAAACATTTATTACCAAAATATGTCAAACATACAAGGAATTTGTCTTGCCGGTTGGTGCGCGACAGTAGACAGTGTGACAATAGACAACAAACAGCAGTGCACAAGTAATAAAATAAAGTAAAATGAAATGCTAATGCAATGGGTTAGTAGAATAAGGCTATGGGTTAGTATAAAACAAGGGAATAAAGTTAAAAATTTAAAATATTTAAAAAGTTTAAAAAATATTAAGCATAAAGTGCACTAGCAAACAAGTGACGAGTGACGACAAAGTGATAAATTACAGTTAAAGTGACATGTGCAGTGTCCCCTTCTCACTCAGAAGGCAGCGCAGGTACTGATTCAGGCTCTTGTCATCTCCCGCCTGGACTACTGCAACTCCCTCCTGGCTGGTCTCCCTGCCACCACCATTCGACCTCTGCAGCTCATTCAGAATGCAGCAGCTCGACTGGTCTTCAACCTTCCGAAATTCTTCCAAACTATTCCACTCCTCCGCTCTCTTCACTGGCTACCGGTGGCTGCCCGCATCCAGTTCAAAACATTGGTGCTCACGTACCATGCTCTGAATGGATCGGGCCCAGCTTACATCCAGGACATGGTCAAACCCTACATCCCAACCCGCACTCTCCGCTCTGCATCTGCAAAACTACTCGTCCCTCCCTCACTGAGAGCAAAACACTCGACTAGATCTCCACTCTTTGCTGTCCTTGCGCCGAAATGGTGGAACGAGCTCTCTGAAGACACCAGGACCGCAGAGACCCTTCACATCTTCCGCCGCAAACTAAAGACACACCTCTTCAGACTCTACCTCGACTAAAGACTAACAAATTGCAGCACTTAAATTGTACTTGTAACATCACTGCGCAGATTGCAGCCAATCACCCTCTCTGCAGAGCGGATGACACGCTGCAGCCTGCCCTTGTCCTCGGCTGTGGCTGCAGCGTACCAGATGGTGATTGAGGAGCAGAGGATGGACTCGATGATGGCCGTGTAGAAGTGGATCATCATCGTCTTTGGCAGGTTGAATTTCTTCAGCTGCCTCAGGAAGAACAACCTCTGCTGAGCCTTCTTTGTGATGGAACTGATGTTCAGCTCCCACTTGAACTTTCCTCTTCGATTTTGCTTATAGTTAGGCCTGGCTCAGGTTAGCCCGGACTAGCCCTTAGTTAAGCTGCTATAGGCTTAGACTGCCGGGGGACTTTCCAGAGTTTTTTCGTGCTTTCCCCCCTAGCAGGTGTCCATAGATGGTAGTTCCTTCTGGACCCTGGTCCTGACACCTGTCGTGGCCCTGCCGACACCTGCTGCTGAATGGATCATCATTATTATTTTGAATATGAATCATATTACTCCAATCATAAACCAACATTACCCTCTCCTAAAGTATTTGTGCTTTGTACAGGATTCTGTGGATGGTGGTTGTCCCTGCAGTGGTCCTGCCGTGCGCCTGGCTTGCTACTCACAATTACTTGAATCATTTCTGTCATAGTAATTGAATGTATTATACATTGTTCATTCTGTACACCTGGCATCCATTGTAGTCTGTCCATCCCGGGAGTGGGATCCTATGGGGTCAGATCAGGCTCAGTCTGCAAATGCGCACAGAGCAAACTGTAAGCTTCACAAATGTATACGATTGACAAATGTTTTCGATTTACATATGCACACAGAAGGATTTACAAATACATTTCAATGCACAGATCAAATGTCTTTTGTGATAAATAAGTTAATACATTGTATTTACTTTTGTTGAAACTTTGCGCACCCCTTATTTATCTCTGCCGTTCCACCTTTGCCAAGCCTACCTTTTATCCAACATTTTTATGTTACGCCCGTGCACCCCTAGGCACGATAGGCAGGCCGTAACATGGTCACATAAAGCTCTTCAATTCTCTTGTAAAAAATCTTCATTTTAATAATGCCGGTATTATGCTATGAAACCGGAAATGTGAGACTCCAGAAAGGATATAGTTATCAGACCAATCACAGCCTTGCGGGCTCCAGGAGGCTTACGTAGCTTTTGACGCTAGTCTAGAAAAATGGGTCGACGCACGCAAGGAGGGGTGAAAAGGCACACAAGGAGCGCGCAAGGGGCTCTTGCGTTTGCGTGTCCTTGAGTTTCGCTGAAGACGAAGAGGCATAAACTAGGCTTTACTCCAAGTTTACCCCAAGTGAAAGAGTTCAAGTTGGTGTGAAGATGGTTTGGCCAGAGAATCCGAGCAGGGGGGCGGTATTGCACTCGTCGAAATCACCATTAAACATCCCTCTGTTCCTCCCTGTGACTCTGCATTTAGGTCCATCTCTGACTTGTAAAATATCTGTCTTAATCTTGTTTAAGTGAGAGAATGTATTTCAAGATTTCTATTAAACTCCATGACCAAATACGTCAATGTTAAATAAATAACTATTGGTTTTTTGAGGAGGCTTAATTTTCCACCTTAACAGTCTAAATCTTGGTCACACTTTTATGTGATAAACCCCCTCCTCCATGATTGTGGAAAAAGCTTTTGTGTTGCAACCAGCCTACGTAACAGGAAGTATTCTACATACGCAATGGATCAGTGGTTTAAAATTAGAGGAAACCCACAGGTTTCACCTCTAAAAAAAACAGACCTCTCCACCCCTTCAATTTCTCCTCTCTACTGATCCTCCCTGGTTCTCCACCAGATTCGCTCAGAGAGGTAGAAAATGCAATGGGAATCCTGCATTGACTCATTATCCAGACAATGTTGTATACCTTTGGTATATTCTTGAAATACTAACATCACATATTCAAATGCATGCGCTAACTAGTCTCCCATGAGACTAAAATCATCTCTTTTTCTTCTTGATCTCTAGTTTTTCTAACTTTGGACTCTAACTTTAAATCCTATTAATATTTGACTGGTAGAGTATTTTTATGTTTCAACTATGTTAGTTTGTCTTCCTTCCTTTCCTTCTAGACCAGGAAATTCTTGTGTCTACAAATCCAGCTCCATAAAGAAAGTTCTCTTGGTTTTATGAGAGA